GGCCCCGTGGGAAGGGGCTCTGAGATGCAAATCACGGCGGTGGTGCTCAGCATGCTGTAATCCTTTGTCCGCTTTAGCTGGGTGCGGATAATGCAACTAATTCCAGTGCTTGTCTCTCTGGTGCGAATGAGCTGGATGACAGCCTAAAGCCTCTCCCCAGCAACAGCAGACCTGCAGAAAAAGGCAGAAGCACAGCTCCTCTCTGTTCCCAGCTACCCTGTCCAACCCCTGGGTTTGGCCAGCAGAAGATTTCTGGCTGCCCTGCCATCTCCCTGTGCGCCTGCTCGCCGGGCAGGACTCTCCCGTGGGGTGGCTTGTGTCACCTTCTGTCCCTGCCTGCGGGACACCTTTTACCCCGGCAGCCCAACCTGTGCAGGCGCTGCGAGGACACTGGAGATGTGCTGCCAAGCACCGCATGGCCTCGCTGCCTTCTGCTGCATAAAGGTGAAGGAACGAGTTTGTTCCAGCGCTGGATACACCAAAAACCAGCAGCACCGCAAAACCTTGGTTTAATCCTTCCCAGGGTCACCAGGCAGGATGGACGGGGCAGACGTGGAGGGCTAGGGCGTGCTTTTGTGCTCCTACGGGCTTGATGGCAGGTGACCTGCTCCTGGTGTCAAGCTGTGACCGAGAGACCAGGGACATCTGCGGAACACGGGCAGATTTTCACACGCACGCGATCGTCTCCTGCTAATAGCGCTGGGAATGGGACTGAAGTTCGCAGCGAGAGCCACACCTGGGTGCCTACTGCAAACAGAGGGCTTGTGTTGGGAGCAGGTCAGCTGGTGCAAAGGTGCTTCCCTCTACCAGCCATGCAGCGCCTGCGGACGGACGGTGTCCCGGATGGAAAAGGGGGACCACGCTGCTGCTGCTTTCAGTCTTTCTTTGCGGCTGCTCTCTGCAGTCCCTGTCTGCCCCGATGAGCTAATTCTCTCTCATTCAGGTCTGAATGTTGTTTCTTCTTCCAGTGACCCCCGAGACACTAGCATTCAAGCCATCTTGGATTTCCCTAGCTGTGATGGAGCAGCCCTAGGAGTTGTTTTTATCAGCTGATCAGGAGTGCTCACACAGTGGTGCTCCCTGCTGCTTCTGTGCCTCAGTTTCCATCAGCTGTGATGGGGGACAGGCAGCTGCTGGGATGAGGCTTGCTGGCTGCTCCCTGGAAGGGCAGGGAGAGACACAAGGGCATTTACGCACCTCAGCTCCTAGGAAGAGGTTTATGTTTAGCCTGCAGACAATGACGGTATCTGTATATTGCTGGTGGGCACCTCTGTGGGGAGCAGAGCACCCCGCTGCTCCCCTGCGGCCACCCAGGAGGGACACCCAGCAGCGGGGTCCAGCGGGGGCGTCAGGGGGAGGCAGAGCCGCTGCTTGGAGGGGTTGATGGGGCTTGGAGGGGTGCTCAGCGCCCGGACAATGCCTGTGGCTTGGGAGCAGGGATGGAGACGGAGGAGAAAGTTTTTTCTTTGTGGTAGGTGAGGTCTCTGTGTCCTGCTTTGCGGCTGCCGCAGCATCCTCCGGCCGCCCCAGCTCCCCCCCGCGCGGGCTGGGCCCCCCAGCGTGTGCTGGATGGGATTTGATGGATGTGTAAAACGAGTGAGATGTTTACTGTAAACCAAGCGGGAGGTTAACTGTTCTGTGGTGTCAGGCAGCATCTGTTGGGGGTAGGAAAGCCAAGCACTTCTCTGGGTAAATGCCTTTATAAGTGACATTTTACGTACCTTTCCATCCTGAGATCTCGGTTGGCTTTGCTGTCCTCTCCCGGGCAGGCTGTGTGACATCCCAGCTGGCTTTTCCAAGCTCACCCAGGAAGCTGACAGCAGAGAATCGGGATCTAGCTGCGATTAAGGCATCGGCCCAAGTGGTGCAGCCTGGCCCAACGCTGCAGGCTCGTGGCTGCAGGATGTCCCTTGTCAACAGTCACTTGCAGACCTCAAGGGACAGGCTGTGCCGGGGGCACGGGGGGGTGGCAGCGGGTCCCCAGCTCTGTGAGTGCCCTTACCAGGATGTCATGGCTCCGTCAGCCAGTCCCGAGCCCAGGAGCCTCAGCAGCCGTTTTTGGGCGGACCGTGTCTCTGGAAACGAAAGTGCAAATGCCTCAGAGATTAGCAAATCGTCTGACAGATTGAATCTCGCAGAGGAAGTGGGGGGCGGTTGTTTGGTTTTGGGTTTTGTGTGGTTTTTTTAAAGCAAGGGAAACTAAGGGACATTTCAGCTGCGGGAGTGCAGAGCGGTTTGGGACAGGGACAATTCCTGCCCCGGGTTCAGTCCCACATTAAACTCCTGCTCTGATCCCCTCGAACCCAGACAGATCCAGCAGGAACCGAGTTCTCCAAGCAGCTGAGAACAGATCGCTGGCCCGAGACCGAGGCAGGGACAGGATCTGAGCAGCCCTGGCCAAACCCCTACAGACCAGCTTCGCTGGTGCCAAGCAAACGGGGCTGTGCCAGGGAAGGGGGGTGCTGGTTTATCCTGACTTTCCCCAGCAGCTCCCACAGCATCGCTCCCACATCCTCCCCCTGCACAAGCCATCAGGGTCCTGCCTGCACTAACAGGTCTTAATTAGCCTAACCAGCCTCATCTGGGGCCTCCTCCCACACCCCCTCCACCCCTTTTGTTCTCCAGCTGTATTTAAGCCTGGCTCCTTGCCTAGATTAGTCTTTGATTTGTCTCCTCGCTGTTTTCTGCTTTCCTGGCTCGATTTTGGATCTGCCTGGCTGCTTTGCCCTCATTAATCACCCATAACGTGGGTGTAACGCCAGGTAGGAAATCCCCCTCTGGGACCAGTTTAATGACTATTGGCCAGTAGGAGGGACACCCTGCGCGGTGTGGGGCTGGGAAGGGGAGGATGAGGAGGCAGCTGGTACCCGAGCGTGCGCTGACAGCTCCCATCAGCTCGCAGGAATCCAGCAAGATGCGGCTTGTCCCTGCCCTCTGCCATGGTGGTGAACCTCCGGGTGGGGGGTGACTGTGGATGGTTTGTGTGCACGCCGGCCCTCGCCCTCCCCACACCCCCCTGGCCGCTGCGGGGGGCTGGCCAGAGCCGGGCTCGGGGCAGGAGGTGCTGAGGCTGGTCCGGCTCTGGTGCTCGGTGCTAGGAAGGGCAGTTCTGGTGTCTGGCAATAAAGCAGTTAAACTTGTAGCGAGACAGTGGGAGCGATTTGGGAGCATTTCCCCCTTATTGGGACCACGGGAACTGCTGCCCTTGAGGTGTGACATGTCCCGAAGCACGGGAGCCTTTTGTTATTACTATTCTTGAGACCTTATTCTAATGTGAAGACCACACCTCCAGGGACCTGAGACCCCCACTGACCCAGCATAAAATCAAAAAACACGGTGCAAGGAAAGAGCTAACCCATTGTAATTAAGAGGAGATAAGAAGTAACCAATTATAATTAGGGGGATGGGGGCAAAGAAGAGACAACTAGCATTTTGAGCTGTATAAATACCCGATGTGGCTGTACCCAGGGCTGCTAGCTTTGTGCATTACCACCCAGCACCCAGCTCTGTGCAGAAATGCAATAAAACCGTGTCTCAACTCTGTGCGGGGATCGACTTGTTTGTTGCACAGTGGGTGACGAGCTCCGGTTTTGGGACAACAGCTCTCCCCAACACAAAGGCGATGGTGCTGGAGATGAGGCAGAGAAAGATGTGCTTGTGTAAATTCACGCTGGAGGTGGCTTTGGAAGGGGCTCTGGCTGACGCCGTGTGACACCGCGACCTGCCGCCTTGTCCTGTGCTGGGGGTTTGTGCCGCCTGGGAGTGGGACAGGGATGGGG